TCAGGCCCCCAGGAGACCTTGCCCCATGAGGGTGACACAAAGCCTCCTTGCTGCCCAGTCCTGGTCATAATCGCCCTTTTATGCTCCCTGTTGTGCGTGGGTACACGAAGCTGACTCCAGGATCGCGTGACCTGCGCCCTGGCGCCCGACTGGAATGGGTGCCCGTTCACCCGCTCTGAGCAAGGCCTGGGAGCCCCTAGGGGCCGTCCAGCAGCACCAGGCCCAGAGAGGGTCATCCACTTTCCTGAGATCACAGAGCAACTAGGGAAGGACACAGTCCTGTGTCGACATGGACTGTGGAACCAAGGCTCCGCCCAGCTGAGGGGCTTCAGCAGAGTCTCCATTCCTCTGTGGGCCTCAGTTTCCCCATCTGTGCAGGTTGAGCACCCACTGGTGCCCAGTTGCTGGGCATGGATGGTGGACAGCTCGGCGCCTGGCACAGATGCAGGCAGGGATCTGCCCTGGGCCCTGGGTTCCTTGTCCAGAGGCCGCTTCCTCCCCTCCTCTACATGCTGTGCCCAGCCTCAGGTTATTTCCTGTGACTCTCATGGGTGGCTGTTCCCTTCTTAATGGCCACGCCATGCTCCAAGACCTTGGGGATCTAGCTGTATCATGCTGCCCCAAAGCTCCTACCTGTTTCTCTTTCTCAACCGTGGCGGGGCTGGTGACCCAGGCTGCTTTATGTGTGATGGCCACAGAGGAGGCTTGGTGTGGTGCTAGTCTGGCCACGTCCCCTCCCCCCTGCTCAGAGCCCCTGAGGCCTCTTTGCCCCCACTCTGCCCTAATCTCTCCCCATCTGCTCCTTGCCCTTCCTCATGCTGTTCCCTTCTGTGGAGACACCCACCCCCATCCTGCTCCCCCCTTTAATTCTCAGCCAAGTAATCACATGTGTGTGCATGGTAAGTCACTTCAGTTGTGTCTGAGTCTTTGCAACTCCATGGACTGTAGCCCACCAGACTTCTCTGTCCATGGGATTCTCCAGGCAAGGGTACTGGAGTGGGTTGCCATGCCCTCCTCTGGGGGATCTTCCCGACCCAGGGATTGAACCCACATGGCTTACGTCTCTTGCATTGGAAGGCGAGTTCATATTAACATTAAATCTGGAGGTAGTAAGGTCCAGGCAGTGGGCATAGCACATGCAAAGGTCCTAGGGCAGATGTGTTGGAGGAACTGTGCCAGGGGGCCCCTGTGGCTGGAGCAGAGTGAGTGGGGTGGGTGGGTGGAGGGGGTCCTGCAGGGCCTTGTGAGTGGTCGGGAGGACTTGGACTTTTACCCTCAAAGGAAGGGGCGTGGGACCTGACGGGTGCTCACTGGCGCCCTCTGGCCTTGAGGGGAGGACAGGCAGTGCAGGAGACCTGGCGGGTGATGACAGCATCGGTCCAGGTGAGCAGTGATGGGACTGGACCAGATAGAGACAGAAAAAAGGGTAAGAAGTAGACCGACTCAGACTAGACTTTGAAGGCAGAGCTGATAGGATTTGTTTATCTTCTCCCCTGACTCTTTGTAGAAGACCCCCACACCCAGGTCTTGCAGGAAGCCAGAGGAGGGGGAGAGCCAGGGGCTTTGCTATAGCAAGATCCTTCAGGGAGGGTGGGGGCCTGAGAGACCTGGAACTTGGAACCTTCTGTGTTCTATCTGATCCTCTCCTACCCCCATTCCTGCCCCTTGAAAGCCCCCAGTGCTCTGTCCTCCCCACGCCCAGCAGGCTGGACTGGCCTCTTTGGGGGAGTCAGGAGCTGATGGCCGGGCCCCGCCTGTGCCTGGATCAGCCCCATCCTGCCCAGTCATTGAGAAGGCGTTGGCCCAGTGGGTAATTAGGGGCCTCCCAGTTTAGAAGGCGGCTGCCCTTGGCTCCCATGGGGCATGGGGGTGCGGGGGAAGCATCGTGACCAGGCCCCTTCATGCCGGTGACCCCTGCCCATGCCAACTTGTATTGGAGGTGAGTAGACAGGAACTAGGTCACCCCCACCTTACCCCCACGCCAGGGGGACCTGGCGACCCTGGGCTTGGTAGTCTCTGTTGCTCTGCTGCCTCGGTTTCCCTGAGTCTCTGTACAGGCCTGACCTGCCGATCCAAGTGGTCTGGGCCAGAGCCCCACCCTGTCCTCCAGATGGGGCTGAGCCTATGTGCATCTGTGGGTGGTGTCAGTTGCTGTGGTCACCCTGGCCGCAGCTGGCTGTGGGCCATTTCTCCAGCTAGGACCTTCACCGTCCCCATCAGCCACTTTTGCTCTTAAAGGGCCTATAGAGGGATTGCCAGGGGAGGTGGCTGGCTCCAGGCTTCCATTTCCCCATCTGTGCATCCCAGACTAGTTGGGTCCCAGTGTGTGTCTGTGGTCTGTCTGTGTGTGTACACGTGGATGAGAGGGGTCTGACTGTGTGTTTCTGGGTGTATATTGTCTGGATGGGTGCAAGCTTAGTCTGCTGACTGCCTGTCTCTGTCGCCCCACTGAATGCCCACATCCGAGTCTGGGGGCTGTGTGTTTTCACCTGCCATGCCCCATGGAGCTTGCATCTGCCTCCATATTCATGTTTGCCCACAACTCAGCTGTGTGTGTGTATTGTCTATGTAACTGTGATCTTGTGTGTACGTGTCTCACCTGGCTGTGGGTCTGTGATCTTGGTGTGGACCTGTGTCTGCCTCTGATCTGACTGTTTACATGTGCTGTCAGCCCCATTGCAACCCTGTGTCTGGGGCCTGATTTTGTGCCTGTCCGTGTGCCTGTGAGTGTTATTGGCCTGACTATGAAGAATTGATGCTTTTGAACTGTGGTGTTGGAGAAGACTCTTGAGAGTCCCTTGGACTACAAGGATATCAAACCAGTCGATCCTGAAAGAAATCAATCCTGAATGTTCATTGGAAGGACTGATGCTGAAGCTCCAATACTTTGGCCACCTGATGCAAAGAACTGACTCATTAGAAAAGACCCTGATGCTGGGAAAGATTGAGGGCAGGAGGAGAAGGGGACAACAGAGGATGAGATGGTTGGATGGCATCACCGACTTGATGGACGTGAGTTTGAGCAAACTCCGGGAGTTGGTGATGGACAGGAAGAGTCAGACAGGACTGAGCGACTGAACTGAACTGATACATGTGGACCCATCTCTGTCACCTCACTGTACATCTGTGATGGTGTCTGTTCTCCCTGTCTGTGATCTGACTGTGTCCAGGTCTGTCTGTGACCTGTGTGCAAGCAACCCCCATCTCTGTCTGGTCTCATTGTAGTCTAACTGTGTGCCTGTTGAGCCCCCCAGCCCCCACTCTTCTCATCCTGACTTCTCCACTCTCCACCCTGGACCATGACCCGGCCACCACCAGCCCAGCCTTCCCCTGGGGCTGGGCGAGGTGACCGCAGCTGGGTATTTTGGGAGCCAGAATCACGGGGGCCGCCCCATCATTACATGGCACCCATCCTTGTGGCCATGGCCTGGACCCACCCAGGGCATGGCCTCTCCCTGTCCCTCCCTTGTGCCCTGGCTAGGGAGGGCAGTGGGGAAGGGGCTGTCCCAGGGTTTGGGTCCTGAGAAGGACCCTTATGCCTTAGCAAGGGTTGAATTCCCGTGGGAGAAACAGACACTGGTGATACACATTCACATTTGACTTGCAAACTGGGATAAATGCCGTGGAGGATGAGCTCAGTCGTTTCTGAAGCCGTGGGATGTGACATGGGGGTGGGGGCTGACCTATGAGAGGCAGGGAGGGCTTCCAGAGGAAGTGACAGTGGAACTGAGACCTGTCACGCAGCAGTTGGGGTTGGGGGGAACAGCATTCCCAGCAGGGAACGTAGTAGGTTCAAAGGCTTGGAGGTGGGGTTGAGCTGGGGCTGTGTGGCCACACCTCCCAAGGGAGGGGGCAGGAGATCAGCAGGAATGGCTTCCTCTGGGGGTCACAGGAGCCATAGGTGTTAGAACAGGGCAGGAACCAGCAGGTGTGTTTGGGAGGGAGGATCCATCTGGTGGCCAAAGAGTCCTGGTTGTAGGGACAATCGGCAGTCTCACCCGGAACTTTGGCCTTCAACAGGCTCAGCCTGGGAGGGGGAGGAATTGGATGTTCAGAGTGACTTCTGGGGGATGGGGACCTCAGTCTGGGGTCGGGGGGCTCAGCCAAGGTCTGGGGTCTGGGCTCCATTGGAGCTGAGGCTTAAGTGGGATCAGGACCCAGCCAGGGTGGGGGTGTCTCTGTCCATCAGGCTGACATTAAAAAATATCATAGACTGAGCGGATTATAAACAACTCTCATTTCTCACGGTTCTGGAGGCCGAAAGCCGAAGATCAAGATGCTGGCAGATCTAGTGTCTGGTGAGAACCCGCTTCCTGATTCATAGATGATCCTCTTCTAGCTGTGTCCTCATGGTGAGGGTAGTGAGGGAGCTCTCTGGGTCCCTTTGAAAGTGTTAGTCACTCAGTCGTGTCTGACTCTTTGCAACTCCATGGACTGTAGCCCACCAGGTTCCTCTATCCATGGGATTCTCCAGGCAAGAATACTGGAGTGGGTAACCATTCCCTTCTCCAGGGGAATCGAAGGGATCGAACCTGGGTCTCCCACATTGCAGGCAGATTTCCTACTGTCTGAACCACCCAGGAAGCCCCATTATAAGGGCACTACTCCCATTCATGAGGGCTCCACCACATGACCGGATTGCCTCCCAAAGACCTTTAATACCATCCACATGAAGGGTTAGATTTCAGCATCGAAATTTTGTTGGGGGCGGAACACAAACATTTTGTTCATCATAGGGGCTCAGTGCTCTCTTTCTGCCCCATCATCGCCCCATGATCCTTGAACCCCATGACTCTCCTCTGCCCCTCTGTGATCCTCCAGCTGCCTCTCCCACGAAGGCCCCCTGGATTGCTGCTCCCCTCTCACAGTCCCTTCGTTTATCTCTGCAGACGCTGCCCCATCTGACGCTTGGCTCGAGGCCTCTCTGTGAGGGACCTGGGGGGCTATCCCCCCCTCAAGGGTGGAGGTCGGAGGTCGAAGGTTGCAGGTCACGGCTGAGCATGGCGCCTGCCTGGGGCCATGGTGTAGCGTCTGTTATCAGGCCTGTGGGCCTCCTCGTGGTCCTGCTGATAGGAGGCTGTGTTGCAGAAGGTAAGTGTGGGCATCTGAGTTTGCATGTGCACATGTGAACAGGTGTCCCCACCTCTCCCTGGGGACCTGTGCTTTTGCCAAGCAGAGCCTCTGTGCTCCGTGAACGAGGCCAAGTAGAATGCTTGCTTTGTGCCGGGTCCTATGAGATGCAGAGGCAGATTGTAAGGATGGTATCAAAAAGCAGTCATAGTAACAGTGGTGACCATGTGGGTTTCCAAAGCATCGACTCTGCACCCAGACCAGTGCTAAATGCAGATTTTATCTGCCTCCTCTCCCTCTACCTCTTAGAACCCAGCTAGCTTCATTACCATCCCCATTTTTGGATCAGAGAAACCAAGGCTTAGAGGAGGAGGCAAGGACTTGCTTAAAGTCACTCCTGAAGAAGCCACAGAGTTCACTTTCCCTTGCCACAAGTAGAAACACCAGTGACCAGTTGGTTGACACACAAGCAGTCAAACCTTCCCAGGAGGAGCCAGGGGAGGCTTCTTGGGAGAAAGGGCATTGCAGCTGGGGTTTTGTGGGTGTGTAGGAGCTTGCCTATAGAAAGGGCATTACTGGTCAAGGTGTTATCACATGGAAAGGCCTGGAGTTTAAAAAAAAAAAATTTGGTGTAGTTTGGGGATGGGCAAGGCTGTTTGTGGAAGTAACTTGGGAAGGATAAGGGTTGGTCCTGGGCCCCATGGCAAGGTCTGTCTCACAACTAAAGGCCTGGAGGAGTGCCATTCAGGGTCTGTCTCACCACTCAGGGCCTGCTGCTGCTGCTAAGTCGCTTCAGTCGTGTCCGACTCTGTGCGACCCCATAGACGGCAGCCCACCAGGCTGCCCCGTCCTTGGGATTCTCCAGGCAAGAAGAGGAGTATTATTCAGGCCCATGGGGACATTAACTGTCAAGTCAGCAGAAAAACTGGGATCTGGTGTTAGGCTGGATTTGAATCCTGACTTTGCTGTCAACTTGCTTTATGACCTTGGGCCAGTGAGTCAGTCTCTCTCAGTGGCTGTTTCCACCATGATTGAATGAGACTCAGCATCATCCACCTCCCAGAATTCCCAGGACATGGACATGCCATAACCCCTGCATGCTGCCTACACATAGAAGGCCTACAGTCCTGGGTTATCATGAGCCTGATAATTATTGTTCCTGGGTGAGAACACCAGAGAGACATACACACCTGCTTTGTACATTTGTGCTTTTTCTTGTTTTCATATTGTTTTACAATAAATGCCTAACCCATTCAGATCAACCACTACCATCTAATGAGATGGATGCTGTTTTCCCCATCCGCATTGTACAGATGGGGAAGCTGAGGCACAGTGAGGTTACATTACAGCCAGGAAGCAGCCTGACTGCCTGGTGCCAGAGCCCAGGTTCCTACCCATCACCCCACATTGCCTCTAGGACAGCGGCCGCACATAACTGGGCCATGATCTGGCCAGTCACCTTCTAGGGCCTGTGTCTTCTGGGCTGTATTCCTCATAGTGGGAATGGCAGGCTCAGGGTGCTGAGCATTTTTAGTTAATTCAGGGTCTCCCTTGCCCTTGGTACTGCTTACATCAGGGCCAGAGCATTCTCTGGGGGGAGTGTGTCCTGGGCACTGTGGGATATGGAGCACCCCTGGCCCCATCTTCTTGATGGCACCCCCACATGAGAACCACTAATTTAACATACACTAGTGGAATAAGTCATAAATCTGTGACTTTGACATCTTGCCACTGACAATTACCAGCCTCAGGCAGAATGGGGCTGAGATTCTTCCCATTTACAGATGAGGAAAGTGAGGCCACAGAGTGTCTATGGTGAGGAGGGGGGTGGAAATCACAGTCTGGAGACTCATTCTGACCCGGGTTCAAATCCTAGCTCTGTTGTTGGACTATGGCTGCTTCTGTGCTCTCATTCGTTCGGTGGGTTTTTAATAAGCACCTGCTTATTAAACCTGCCAGGCACTGGTTTGGACCTAGGGGACAAACCAGATATCCCACCCCCTTTTGGAGCTGATCATCTCATGAGGAAGAGACCCCAAGTGTGCAGTATGGTAGACACGCCCAGGAGCAAGACAAACAGAAAGGGAGATGAGCTTGTGAGTGGAGGGTTGGGGGCTGCATTTTAAATGAGTGAGAGGGTGTTATGCTGCACCAAGAAGATGGCATCTGAACAGAGTCCTAAAGGAGCTGAGAGAGTGCCCCATTCATGTTGGGGGAGTGTGGAAAGTGTCCCGGGCAGAGGGCATAGCCTGTGCAAAGGCCCTGGGGTAGGACCCTGCCTGGCATGTTGGAGGAAGTGAGGAGGCCTGTGTGTCTGGAGCAGAGTGAGTGAAGGGGAGAACAAGGAGGGGGTGGGGCAGGTTGTGCAGGGTCTTGTGGGCTACTGGAAGACATGGGCTTTTGCTCCCTGGGAGATGGGAGACCCAGAGGGCCATGGGCAGAATGAGTGGGCCAGATCTGACTCAGATACTCACAGGTCCCCTCTGGCTGCCAAGGGAGGACAGACGGTGGGGTGAGGGAACCAGAGCAGAGGGTGACCCACGCAGGGAGAGTGACCCAGGGTATCAGCACCAGGCATGTAGCCAAGCTACTTCAGTGGGTGCTCCCTCAGTGAGTCCTGCACTTACTGATTATTTATATTTATTTATTTGGCCATGCAGCTTGTGGGATCTTAGTTCCCTGACTGAGGATCGAACCCATGCCCCCCGCACTGAAAGTGTGGAGTCTTAACCACTGGACCCCCAGAGAAGTCCCTGCAGTTGTTATCACTATATCCCTATAGGTATTGGTAGTGGCCTAGACTCAAACCCAGGTCTCCGTCTCCAAAGCTGGGGCATCTTGACCCCAAGAGGTGGTCTGTTTAGCAGGAGCCCTGACACCTGGGTGGTCAGTGGAGGGGCTGTGGGCACTATGATTGGCATTGCCGGCTTCAAGGAGTAGCCCAGGTCCTCAGCGAGCCACTTGGGTGGGGGCTGTCAGCGGGAGTGAGCCCAGCCAGGCAGCTGGGATGTCCACCACCCAGCACCAAGAGGAGCGGTTTCTGCCCCAGAAACAGTTCTTGGTCCTGTGGGACCTTCCCAGGACGCTGTGTGGCTGGCCCAGACTGGATTGGAAGGGATGGGAGGGAGGGTGGGACTCTACCTCTGGCACCAGATTTTCCTCTGCAGAATCTGAAATGGAAAAACAGAAATCGAGCCAAGCCCTTCCCAACCTCCCCGTGCTGTTGGCATCACCACTCTGAACCTCAGTCTCTTCATCTAAGAAATGGGAACACCCAGGGTGCTGTCTGTCACCAAAAACCCACAACCCTGTGTATCAAGTGTACAGTGTGCAAGGCTTTGGGAACCAAATGGAACCAGGTTGGAATCTTAGCTCTCGCCCATCACAAGCTGGGTGAGCAGGGGCTAGTCAATCACCCTCTCTGAGCCTCAGAATAGAGCTGGTGTGAGAACAGGCCCAGCACAAAAGGAACGCTTGCTTCCATAAGCTGCAGCCATACCCCAGTGTCTTTCTTGTGTCTGGAGCCCCTTTGCCAAGAAGAGGAGGGGAGGGTTGTCCAAATAAGAGACTTTAAGCATCCACAAGAATTAGTCTAATGGGAGATGCAGCAGGCGGAGAAAGCTTTTCTGGGCTGGCTGGACTCCCAGAGCTGCCTGGACGTAGGCTGAGGCGCGTCTGCCCTGAAGAGAGAGGGAGCCAGGGAGCGAGTGGGCAGCTTCATTACTCAGTATTTGGCAAACATCAGGGTTCAAGTGCTTCCCAGGTGGCATTAATGGTAAAGCACCCACCTGTCAATGCAGAAGACGTAGGAGATGTGGGTTTGATTCCTGAGTGGGGAAGGTCCCCTGGAGGAGGGCATGGCAACCCACTCTAGTATTCTTGCCTGGAGAATCCCATGGACGGAGGAGCCTGGTGGGCTACAGTCCATAGGGTTGCAAGGAGTCAGACATGACTGAAGCAAATTAGCACACATGCATGCACAGGGTTCAAAGCCCCAGTTTTTCAAGTATCACCGGGCTCAGAGAGGTGATATGAGGGAGTCCCCGGGAGTGGGGTTCATTTCACACCCACCCTGCCAGGTGGCATGGAACCAAGTATTTCAGCCCAATGTGATCAGGGCTGTGATGGAGGGGGGCATCCAGGGAAGGATGGGGACAGAGGCGGTCCTGACCCAGCCAGTGGTAATCCAAGAAGGCTCCCTGGGGGAGGTGCTGGCCGAGCAGAGGTTGAAGCTGCCAGATGCAAGGAGGAGGAAGGATAGTGCAGGCTCTCATCGGGTCTCGCTCCCTGGATTGGAGGGTCCTCGGGGTGTGTCCCTGGCCCCGAGTGGTAAACAGGCAGCTGGATGCTTTTCCATCCTTGCAGCTGGCTTCTGCCCTTCCTTCCAGCAGCTCCCAAGGGAGGGTTTTTCCCAGAAGCAAGATTCCTGACCCAACTGCAGTGACTTTCCCCCCTGACCTTGGCTGGGGACACATATGGCCCCAGTCACCGTTCCAGGAGGAGGGGCAGGCCCAGCCCAGGGCTACTTAGCAGGGAGCAGCAAAAACATGTCAGTCAGGCTCTGGGCCTGGGGGTGAGAGGAGCAGAAGATGTGGGCGTAGGGTCAGAGAGACCCAGGTTCAAACCCCGGTGCTGACACGTCTGAGCTGTGTGAACTCGCACAAGCTCGTTAACCTCTCTCAAGCTTCACAGTCCTCTCTGTAATGGGATGAACAGTCACCTCCACAGTGGACTACACAGGAGCTGAAGGAGGCCACACATGCCTGCACACAGTGGGTCTACTGATTTTCCAGAGAGATGGCCAGTGTAGACTCACAGAGTCATATCAATGGGAACACAGCCTGAAATGAGGGAGGTGCGGCCAGTCAAGCCACGGGAATAGGGACATTGTATTTTGTTCAAGGCCTGGCCTGAGTCACAGATAGTAGAAATTGGGGTTGTGGCACCCAGATTTGGAACCTGAGGTCTTCTTGAACTTCTTGGCACTCCTGAGTAGCCAAAACTTTCTACATGAACCTATGAGGCCTAGTTGTTGCTTAAGCTGGAGTTGTTCATCCTCTGTGCCACAGATCCCAAACTTTTACTTAATATATTTCTTCAATCTACTCACCTTTCTATTCAAACCTTACAGAAATAATAATTGCAATTTATCTGCAAATAGTTCTCAGTCTAATGAAAGTACCAGGCTGTGAAGCCTCCCTTCCCCTGAGTCTGGCTACCTGCTTTCTCCTCTGAGAGGCAGATGTTGTTTCTATACACACACACACACACTTTACCCATTTTCAGTTTTCTCATCACACAAATAACACTCACTACACATTTTACCCCACATTTTTGGTCCATTTTGTATGGTACCTTACATTCCTTCCCTAGTAGCTCATTACAGAAGTATCCTTGTCCCTTTTTACAGCTGCATAGTATTCCACTTCATGTGTGGCTGTATTCATTTAATAATTCCCTTTTGTTGGATACATCGGTTGTTTCCTTCAGGACTTTCTAAGCACGTTGCAGCCCTTAAGTCTGTTGGCAAAACTCTAAACAGCTGAATTCATTTTACGGGATATCTTGTAGCTTTACTGTGGCTGGAAATCCAGGATACCTTTGGGCGATTCAAAGGTTACTGTGAAAAGTCCATAAAAAAAGAGAACAATGTTAATGAGCTCTCACCAGGTACCAAAGCCTGAGTGAGGTCCAGACTTGAGGCTGTCTAGGTGTAAAAGACATCTAACTCCCACTTGAGACTTACCTGGGGAGGTTTTAGCACATCACATCATCATGAGGGACAGAGGATGTGGGCACAGGACCAGCCCCATTCAAATCCCTGCTCATCCCCTGGCTGGCTGTGTGTTCAGGCAGATGGCTTGCTTCACTTTTCCTGTGTGTGAAATAAGGATTATGGTGGCTCTGCCCACCCAGCGCTGGCAGAAGAATCTTTTTTTGAGGGGGGCTACACTACATAGCTTGTGGGATACTAGTTCCCCATCCAGGGTGTTTGGACACCTCCCATGGACGAAGAGGCTGGGGTCTTGGGTCCGAGCGCTGGTTCTGACCTCAGGTCCCTTGGTCAACGCCCACTCCCCCGCTTCCCTGTTCAGTGCCTCGGTTTCCCCATGTGTGCCGTTGGGGGATTAGACCAAGTTATCTCTTCCCAAGCCATTTTAGGACCAGGGACCCTCCAGGGTTTGGCTGGTCACTACTGAGGGCTGAATTTGGGAACCCTAGAGTCTCAGGGGTCTCCCCTCCCACCTTCCTTTATGGCACTGCATCTGAGTGGGTATGCACACATGAGGCTGTGTCCGTGTGTGAGTGTGTGGCTATTGTGTCTAGAAGCGGGGAGGTGGGGGTGCTGGGCAGGCCCCGGGGTGCCCATGGAGGGTGAACTGTGGCACCATCTCTCCTTCCTCCCCTGCAGCCCTCGTGTTGGGCCCATGTGGTACCTCTGTGGCCGGGCGGGCTGGAGGGCACGTTTACCTGGCCCCCTGGGATCCTGATCACATGCCCAGGCCCACCAGAGCTCCTCTTCCTCTCTCCCCAGAGCCCCCCAGGTTCATCAAGGAACCCAAGGACCAGATTGGAGTGTCGGGGGGCGTGGCCTCCTTCGTGTGTCAGGCCACAGGTGACCCCAAGCCACGGGTGACCTGGAACAAGAAGGGCAAGAAGGTCAATTCACAGCGCTTTGAGGTGAGTGGCCGGGGAAGGGAGGGGAGACAGCCCAGGGCCAGCCCCCTGCCACCCCCGCACCCCACCACACCCCCCGCCATGGGGCCTGGCCGCTCAGCCACAGAAGCCGTCCCAGGAACATTCCCATGTGGAGCTGGCTCCCTCCCCATCTGGGACCCTTCTCTCCTTCCACCACCTCCCTGGCAGGTGCACCCTGACATGTGCTCCGTGAGGGCCATGCCAGGCTCACCTATTCTGCCACCTTTGTGCAGTGTGGCCTCAAGCAATGCTCTGCCTCTCTGGACCTTTATCTCACAGAAGGGAATTCGCAACCCTGTGCCCATGTCCATGGTCAGACATACATGTTTCCACATCCAGCATGCCTTTGCATGCCTGTCCCCAGACTTACGTGCGTGTATCACGAACCCATGTACGCACAATACCCTTTACTCATACAGACCCAGTTTTCTGCCTCCAGTATCTATACAGGGCCTACACACACACGTGTGTATAGCCCCCAGGTCCTCTCCTGGTCACCCCTGGGACTCCAGCCTCATTCTGACCTTTCTCCCCTCCCCGCGACAGACGATCGAGTTCGATGGGAGTGCAGGGGCTGTGCTGAGGATCCAGCCACTTCGGACACCCCGAGATGAGAATGTGTATGAGTGTGTGGCCCAGAACTCAGTCGGGGAGATCACCGTCCACGCCAAGCTCACTGTCCTCCGAGGTATCGGGTTCCCCAGGGTGTGTGGAGGAGGCCCTGGGGCCTGGTTTTGGGGACAGATACCAAAGGGATCCATGAAAGTCTTGCTTTGGATTTTCACTTCTGGGGGACTTTGATCTCCTTTTTTTAGCCCATAATCCCACTGGGTGTTAAAGCCTTCTGGTAGTAATTTATTGAGCCTTTGCAGAAAAGAAGAGCAGCCTGTTAAGGGATTAGTACAAAAGGTGCATCCAACTCAAACTGAGAATTCATTTGTTCATGTAATTAAAATGTTTGTGGATTATACGGCTTCAGGTTCAGCTGGATCCAGGAACTCATACCATGTTCTCAGGGTTCATCTTCTGACTCTGGGTGTTCTCTTCCCCATCAACTGTATTCTCAGTGAGATCTCCCCATTAGCTCCAGACTCTGGGGCCTGTACACAAGAGGACTAAGTGACCCAGGACTGTTCATTGACCCACCTTGGGTCAGATGGCCATCCCTGAGCTTGTCACTGTGGTTGGAGGAAGAAATACTCTGATTGGCAGAGTTTCCCCTGAAGTCAAGGGTGGGTCAGCCCATGTAGACAGGGTCAATAAGGGGTGGTCTCCCCAAAGAAACAGAGGAGAAATAGCAGCTGGCTAGGCAGAAGCAGCTAACCACACCTCCCCACACATTCCCATGGATCCTTCCTGTGGACTCCCTGCTGGCCTCGGTGGGCTGGGGCACCAGGAAATGGCTTCCTTATTGTAATACAGCATCATTCAGACAGTCTTGCCACAAACCCGCCTCCCACCTGCCCACCAGCTGCTCCTGACTGCCTTCTCCCTTGCAAGGTGATTAATTTAACCCAGGGGCCTGCAACTTGGGTTCACATCCTGGCACTGCCATTCTGTAGCTTCGTGACCTTGGGCAAGTTAATGAACCTCTCTGAGCTGCAGTTCCCTCACCTCCGAAGTGGGATAATGATGATGTTCAGCACAAGGGATTGTTACCTGAACCACAGAAGTAGACAAAACAAGTCAGGGACCAACAGGGTGCCGTGTGGGGAACATACATTTGGTTGGTGCTACCCATCTGGTGTTATTGCCATCGTTGCTGCTGTTCTGGTTGTGACAGGACAGCTACCATCAGCCATTGTGCAGCTGTGGGGTGGGTTCTGCCTGTCGGCTGCAGCGCCACCCTAACCCTCTCTGATCTCTAAGTATAAGCCACCCAGGACTTCCCTGGCAGTCTGGTGGTTAAGACTTTGCACTTCAGCTGTAGGGGGCACAGGTTCGATTCCTGGTCAGGGAACTAAGATCCTGGTAAGCAACGTGGCCCAAAGGAAAAAAAGGTAGAAGGCAATGCCAGCCATTGGGGGCAGGTGGTCCCCACATGTGGCTCCCAGGTTGGGAGTCACCCAGTGTCCTCCCTGGCAGCTTGGAGCCCCCGGAGGAGCCTTCATGTTGGCCACAGGGTCACTTGATCCCAGACCCTGGTGTGTGCCCGCCCTCGTCTGTTACTGCCTGGAAATTCCTAGTAATTTTCAAACAAGGGGCCCCATAGTTTCATTGTGTGTGGGGCCTGGAGCTGGTCCTGCTAGGGGATGGAGGAAGGAGGAGGGGAGGGGAGGAGTCCGCCTGCCCCAGCCCGCCCCGCCTCTTCCCAGCAGATATTTTTGCCCTGACCTTTCCCCGGGCACAGACGGAACGGCGCGCCTCCCGCTGTATACAAACCGCCAGCCCCCCCTAGCTCCCCCCGTGCCAGCCTCCATTGTAAGCGCTCAGAGAGTTAAAAGGACACGCTGTGAATCTATTAACTGCCCAGTCTCTGGGAGTCTGGGAAAGACACATCTCCGCTCCCTGCCCCCCATCTCGGCCCTCAGCATCTCTCTGTTCTCAGGGCGCCTCAACAGACGTGGTGCTTGGGCTGGGCGCTCAGCCCAGAGCGTTTGACCTGGAGCGCCTGTCCCCCTGCCTCCTTTGAGCCCCAGGGACCCCCCAGCTGAGCGGGAAGGTCTGGGCTGCTGGGCCCAGCCTTCCCCCACCCCACCTCTTTTCCCCCCGATGCCATCTGATTGTGGACGCTGCGCACGCCTCTCACGCTGTTGTTTTAATTAAACTCCGAGGAATCCAGCACAATGTGGTACTCGATGAACATTTTTGTTTAATTAGGAGCTCTTGGTAACGTCAGGCGGCCGCAGCCTACCCCCTACCCTGGCTGGCTGCCGCCCACAGGCACGCACGCCCCTCCCCCGCGGGGCTGCACGCACCCAGGAAGTGCTCACGTGTGGACACACGTGGGGTGTGGGTGAGCGCACATGCACACCCGTACGCGCACACGCAGGAAACGTCGGCACAGAGGGACCCTGGCAGCCCCAGCCTCCAGCATGTCTAGACCAGCTTTGAGCACCTAGAATTGAGGCCCGGTTATCTTGGCCCGACCCTCCAGTGACGTCATCAATAGCCAATCAGGACCGCGCAGTGAGTTGGTCCAGGCCTCCGGGCCCAGGAAGAACGAACTGGGTGTGAAGCAGCTTAGGCAGGATCCAGCCGCTCTGACCCGACTTGGGGGTTCTGCAGTCACTGGCCCCATCCAGCTTCCTCCAGATCTAGCACAGCCTGGATTCGAATTCCAGCCTTGCTGAGACCGGACTGTATGACTCGGGGCAGGTGTGCCCTGTGTTTGAACCTCAGCGTTCCCCTCTGTGAAATGGATCCCTTCTCAGAGGCGGATACAGGAAATTACCTAACTTTGCCTGGTACATACATAGTGCTCAGGATTTGGGACTCATGCTGTTTTCCTCTGTGACTCCTGCCTGGACAGGAACCACAACACTGTTGTTTTAACTGCGGACATGGGGTGATGGTGCCCCTGCTCACCTCTCCCTTACCCTGTCTTGGCTTCCTGCACCCTCCAGGTACTTGGGTCTCTATTCTCTCCCCACATGGTGTCTTCTTGCCTACCTCTTCCCCAGTTCCCTGTCCATCTCCCAAAGCCCCGCCATGCCTTGTTTCCCTCCTGGGCATCTGTAATCAAATAAATGAGTGTTATTTCCTTTTTACGCAAATAGCAGCTTTGTCTATACCAGGAAGTGGCAAGCTTCTCCTGTAAAATGCCAGAGAGTAAATATTTTTGACCCTGCAGGCCAGAGAGTCTTTGTTGCAACTTCTCAGTTCAGCCCAGTGGCTGGGGATGGTGAGGAAACCAGTGGGTGTGGCTGTGTGCCAATAAAACTTTATCAACAAAAATAAGCAGGGGGCCGGACTTGGCTCAAGGGCCATAGTTTTCAATCCTTGGTCTACACATCTTTCACTTTGTCCAGTTAGCAGCGCATCTTGGACTTTGTTCTGAATCTGTAAGGTGATTCCTTCTGTTTTGGGGACCTGCCCTGTGGCTGGACCGGCCTGTGTATAATGAGGCTCTGTTGACAGACATTTAGATTGTTGCCAGCCTTTTGCTGTTAGTGTTGGCACCTTGGGAATACCTCTGCCTTCCTCCTTGATGTACAGGCTCAGGGGTCTCAGGTGGATGATGCCAAGTCACCCCTACCCCTGGTTCCACTGGACCAACACACATTCCTGCCTGCCACAGACAAGCAGGCCTGCGTCTTCTGTCTCATCAGCCCTGTATGCTGTCACTTTCTTGTCCCTTGTGACTCTATCACTTGTTCATCGGGGTGGGATGGGGACTGTGTTAGTTTTCTAGGGCTGCTCTAACGAAGTACCACCATCTAGGTGGCTTATGTCACATGCTTTTGTTCATAGTCCTGGGCTGTAGGTCCGAGATCAAGGTGTCAGCAGGGTTGGTTCCTTCCAAAGCCTCTTTCCTTGGCTCAAAGACAGCCGTCTTATCCTCCGTCTTTATATGATCTCTGCTCTGTGTGTGCCTGGGTTTTAATCTCCTCTTCTTAGGAGGACACCAGTCCTGTTGGATTAGGGTCACACTAGTGCCGCCTTTGACTTAATGATCTCTGTAAACGCCTTCTCTCTAAATATAGTCTAATTCTGAGGTCCCAGGGGTTAGGGTTTCAACCTATGAATTGTTTTTCAGTCGCTAAGTGGTATCTGACTCTTGGCCACCCCATGGACTGCAGCATGCCAGGCTTCCCTGTCCTTCACCAACTCCTGGAGCTTGCTCAAACTCACGTCCATTGAGTCGGTGATGCCATCCAGCCTATTCATAGGGTTTCAACCTGTGAAGGCGGGTGGGGTGCCTTTCAACCCATAACAAGGGGATGGTGGCTGTTCTAACTGTAGCTGAGGAGGTATGCCCCACCACAGGGAACCCTTTGTCCATTGTGGATGTGAGGCCAGGCTGGAGCTGCGGTGTTAGGGATCAGAGCAAAACGTACCAGGGGTCCAGGTGCTGAAGTGGGGAGGACAAAGTGTACAGGAGGGGGAGGGACCTGCCAGGAGGCCCTGAAGCCGCGTCCCCCCTCCCTGGTGCCAGCTCCAGCTGAGTCAGGCACGGAGCCCATGGTGCGACATGCAGATTACACTAACGGAGGCCACCCGACTTGTCACCTCGGTTGTGTTAGTTTCAGGTGGCTCGGCAGTAAAGAATTCTCCTGCCAACACAGGAAGCACAGGTTAAATCCCTGGGTCGGGAAGATCCCCTTGAGGAGGTTATGGCAACCCACTCCAGTATTCTTGCCTGGAGAATCCCATGAATGGAAGAGCCTGGTGGGCTACAGTCCATGGGGTTGCGAAGAGTCAGACATGACTAAACATGCATGCACGCTAAAAACCGGCAAAGTGAATCTGTTATACAAATACATATATCTACTCTTCTTCAGATTCTTTCCCCATATAGGCCATTATAGAGTATTCAGTTGCGTTCCCTGTACTGTCCAATAGGTCCTTATTCGTTATCTGTTTTATATGTAGTAGTGTGTATGTGTCAAGAGAACCACATTCTTATCCATCACTAGAACATGGGGACCAAGTCTCCCGGGAGAAGTATTTTCTCCCCCCACCACCTTTATCTGGAGGCTAACCAGTGAATAGGGAGACCGAGGCCAGGAGGCCTGCCTCTCACAGGTTGGCAGTAACTGAGGCTGAGTTGTTTGCTCATTTATTGAGCACCTACTATGTGCCAGGACCTACATGGGGTGGTAAGGACACGGCAGAGACACAGATGCATTGTGATCTATGGAGTTTGATGTTTGGATGTTCTAGAGTACAGGAGGGTTTTACTTTTTGTTATTAGTTTTTGACCACACCCCCAGCACGTGGGATCTTAGTTCCCCAACCAGGGATGGAACCCACACTCCTTGCAGTGGAAGCACAGAGCCTTAACCTCTGGACCACCGGGGGATTTCCCAGGGTGTTTATAACTTGTGACTGCGAGCTTTGCCCAAGGTGATGTGGATGCATCACCAAGGAGTGATGCTGGAGGGGGCCTGATGACTTTGGGGGACCAAAGTGGCTGGCATGGCTAGATGGAGAGACTGAGAAGAGTGGGGCTGGCCCAAGATGGGGCTGCCGAGGCCACTGGTGGCCAGTGCCAGGCAAGGAGCCTGGGTTCCTCCGGAGGATGGAGGAGACTACAGCGAAACGGGCCACACAGGGTGGTGTGGCCCTGTTTACATTTTGAAAAGCTCTCTCGGGCTGCTGTGAAGTAACCCAAGGGCTCTGTGAGTTCAGCACTGCTGACATCAGGGCCGTTCTGGGCACTGTGAGGGGTGGAGCAGCATCCCTGGCCCCCACCCACTTGATGCCGAGAGTGACAACCATGGACATCCCCAGTCGTGGCCCAGTGTCCCCTGGGGGCAGGATCGGCCCAGATCAGAGACACTGGTCTAGCCTGATGTCCTCCCAACAGTTAGCACAGTTTCCCACAGACAGAAGAGGAAACAGACTACAGGAGATCACCCAGCCAGGCAAGGGCTGCCCCCAGGGCCCATCCCCAAGCCCCACCCTGGAGGGACAGCTGTGCAATAACTGGATCTCTGCCGTTTTCCCCATCCCCCGCTCCCCCCGCCCCCAGAGGACCAGCTGCCCCCCGGTTTCCCCAACATCGACATGGGCCCCCAGCTGAAGGTGGTGGAGCGGACACGGACGGCCACGATGCTCTGTGCTGCCAGTGGTAACCCTGACCCCGAGATCACCTGGTTCAAGGACTTCCTGCCCGTGGACCCCAGTGCCAGCAATGGGCGCATCAAGCAGCTGCGATCGGGTGAGCGCAGGGGGCCAGGAGGATGTGGGAGCTGCAATGGGTGGGAGGGGGAGGGCAGCATCTCAGGGCCGGAGCCCTGGGGACTGAAGGAGGACAGAAAGGCAGAGCTGATGTGCAGCCGTGGAAGAGAGAAGGGGTCTTTGGAGCCGAATCAGTGGGGATGTAATAAGGTGGAGGCTGACAGGGGTAATGGAGAGCTATGGTGGGTGCTGCGGGCGAGTTTTTCAGTGCCTAAGTGGAGCCATAGCTGCCTCAGATATGCACAGTGATGGTGGCTGCTGAGGCCGTGGGGGCAGAGTGTCCCCAGTACCCAAGCAGTGGGGTCCTAATGGGGTACAGAGAGTTGCAGGTAATGGAAAGCCAGAGGAGGATAGGTATCTCTGGTGCCCCTGCGTTGGGGACACAGTGGGAGACAGGCAGAGGAGATGGGGAGCTGTGGAGGGTGTTTAAGGAAGGCCGTCTTCAGCATCTGAGCACTGGCTGTATAATGGCACGGTCGAGGTACTGGGGAGCCGTGGAAGCTGGCAGGGGGAGAGTGTGTTCTGAGCAGAAACAGTGGACTTGTCCTGTGAGGATGTAATGAGGTCCAGGCAGGTAGGAGTAGAGGGGAGCATAAAGCAAAGGCTGGAGAGTATTTCCGGTGCTGAAGCAGTGAGTGTCTCCAGAGGAGATAAAGGCATAGACAGGGAGTGTAATGGGGAGCCATAGAGGGCTGCAGGGAGCGAGCATCTCCAAGACAGTGAGGATGTGATGGGGCACCGGTAGTTGGTCCACCCAGGCTAAGGGGGCCTTGGGACAGAGCACACGGCCTGGGCCACCTTGGGGCTGGGCACTGCTACAACTGTGTCTCAGCGCAGCAGCCTCATGCCCCCGTCTGTGAGTCCATCTGTCTGCGGAGCTGTGTGCACTGTGTCTGTCATCACACTGCTTCACGAACCTCTGTGTGTGTGTGTCCAGGCTCCCCATGTGTCCTGACTTAACACGCAGGCCATGCCATCAGCACACAGGTCACCCTCTCCCTCCCAGAGCAAAACTTGTCCGCGTGCATCTCAGCCACACGTGTGTCTACGTGACAGTCCCTCCCGTGTGCATGTCTCAGCCTAGTCCTTGTGTACACCGACACATGTGTGATCAGGGTGTGCCCCCGGGCACTCCTGCGTGCTCTGGTCCATTCTGAGGACACGTGTGGGTGTATCCCCTTTTTCCCTTTCCCTCTTCTCTGAGGGCCCCCACCCTGGAGCCAGTCTTGCCTGAAAGCCCCTCCATCAGTCTCACCGTACCTCCTCCGCCACTCACTGCCCAGCCTCGTCGTCTGAGGAGTCCCGCTTGCCCATTTCCTACTTTCTGCTCCCCCCAACAAAGACCGAAAACCTGAAAAGGGGCAGATGTTAAGCCCAGAATTTCTTCCCTGGAGAGACGTAGCCTTCCTGGTGCTGACCTGTCTGAGGATATTTGCAGCTTGGGGGGCTCAGCTGGAGGAGTGGTGGCAGCCTTGGGAACCCAGTTGCTTCTCTGCTGGTTTCCACCATTGTCACATCAGAATAATGACGTGATTGAGTGTGGACCCAGGTGCCCGGTCACCTGGGCGTGTCCTCCTCTCTGGGTCTCAGTGTCCTCATGAAACATGCCTACTCCCTAGCGTCACTGTCCGGGGCCCCTGACAGGCTGCTTGGCCCTACCAGGAACTCAGTGAACATCGGCTGCTTTAAAAATCATAATCAAGGGACTCGCCTGGTGGTCCAGTAAAGACTCAGAGCTTCTACTGCAGGGGAGACAAGTTTGATCCCTGGTTGGGAAACTGAGATCCCACAAGCCACGTGGCGCAGCCAGAAAAAAAACATTGTAATCAATCTAATTATTATTCCAACATCCCCTCCCATCCCCAGAGGATACAGGCTTCTGTATAACCACCCGTTAACGTTCCTGTTCTCTTTTCTTGTCCCTCTGTTGTAAACGTTCAGAAACCTTTGGTAAGTTTAATTTCTTCACCATGTCAACAACTAACGCCCTCCTCATGTCCCCTACCCCACTCCCTGCCCTCAGACTAACGGCCACCGTGACAGTAACTGTGACCCGTTCCACGTGGCATGTCTACTAACGTCCCCCGCCCCTCCTGCGCCCCCCCCCCCGGCCCCCGGCCACCTGGCCTTCCCCATCTGGGCTCCAGGGGGCTACAGAGAGAAGGGCCTAAAAGGAAAAGAGGAAAAAAAGACAAGACCACAGGGGACTTACTGGAGCTTCATACATAACATACCCGCCCCCCATCCCCTTTGCCAGCCCCTTCTGGGCCTTGACGCTGCTGGAAAATGTGAAGTTACAGAAAGTTAGGGGTTGGATGTAGGGGGAATGTTCCGTCTGGGCTAGTACTGGGTGCATCTTTTTCTCTTCTCCTAGCATCCAGCCTGAAGCCCCTGAATCCAACTGCTGGGCTAATTCTTACTAAGCTGAGAATGGCTGATACTGACCCACAGTAGTAACTTCTTATCTTCCTCGGAGCAGAAGGCGAAACGGCCTTTCACACCCACTCTCCATGTGTGGTCTTCCTCAATATGGTGACCATGGGCTGTTCTGGCCACCTTGGAAAGCTCTGTCCTTCACTTTCTGGGTTCTGTCACCGCAGTCTCAGTCAGACAGCCTGAGCGGGAGCTGACCTAGATTCCCACTGACCCGAATTTTCACTCTCCACAGTACAGCCTCAGGCAAATCCCCCTTCCCCCTCCTCCCCCTCCTCCTCCTGTATGAAGAGGGGGAGTGGCCCCATTAGATTGGGGATTTCCTAAGAGATAATATAGGACCCTCCTAAAAGTTCTTGAAGGGCCCCAGCCTGGGAGGCTGAAGAGCTGAGTTCAAGGCCCCGCCCCTGCCTCTTGACTCATGGCGGGACAATTCTTGGAACTTGTGGGCCTCAGTTTGCCTCTCTGCAAAATGGGCTGGGGCCAGATGGAGAGGAGTCTGTTTTCTTTGCTGTGGCATTGGCGGTTATCAGCTGTCCTCAGCACAGAGAGACGGGGCAGGGGGCGGTCCATATCACTCCTGAGGATGCAGAATTCTAACCAGGGGCCACTATGTCTGGTTTCCTGAGCTGTCCCAGCCCCCAGAATCCATAGAGACACACAGTCCTTTTCCTCTTTTCCTTTTGGAAATTAGAGAGGCTGCAAGGCTCTCCTTCTTCCCTCCATCCCTTTTCACCACCCTCCTCTGCCCCTCCTACTTGGCCTGTCTGTACCATCTTCCAGTTTGCTTTATGAATGCCCAACCCTGGGTCACTAACCCCTCTCCCGCCCTATCTCTAACAAGATTCCCAAGACCCCCCATTGTTCCCTGTCCCTCCCGAGAAGGAATCTAGGAGGGGAGGTCACGGACCTCCCTCCCTCGGCCCAGAAGGAAGGCAGCCAGGCCAGGCCAGGCCATGTACCCCCCTGAGGCAGAGCCACGCCCCTCCGGCCAGTCCACAGGGTCTTCTAGACTCAGCCCCTCCTTCCCCAAGAGATTCCCGCCTTCTATGGGAAGCCCTCCTGATTGGCAAGCCCCGAGTGCCCATCTCCTCCTGGGAGCCTTGCCTCGTCTTCCTGGACAGCGCCTGCAGGGTCCATAGACCCAGGGCTGCCTACCTCAGCCCCCTCCCAGCCCTGGGGGCAGAGTGGACAGGCCTGGCTGGCGGCCCGGCCCCGTCTCCCTGGGGCCCCGAGGCCCCCCAGGACTGCCTTCTGACATTCACCTGACTCTCTCTGCTTCCCTTACAGAAAGCACTCCGATCCGAGGTAAGAGGCTCTTTCCTCACCCACCCACCCACTCACGGTCTCTCTCACTGCCCGCCCAGCCCCCCAGGCTCCACAGGGGGCTGCCCCAGGCCCCCCTCCACATGTCTCCTCCTCACCCTGCCCGGTGTCCATACAGTCTGTGTCTATGTCACCGTCTGTGGCTCGGGGCTGAGGGTGGCCGCGTTGGCCCCTCAGGTCACCTGGCCACAGGGGGTTATGTCCTCCCGAAGGTGCAGTGCCTCCCATGCCCGCCCAGAGCACTGATGACTGCTCTGTGTGCAGCCCTCATCTGTCTCTAGCCTTGGTTTTCACATCTGTATAATGGGTATGCAGAGGGGGGCCTTCCAGCTGTGAAGCTTTGATCTGGGTGATGTGGTGGGGGTGTGGGAGTCCAGCTCTCTGAAGGAGCAGAGAGTCTCAAAGGCAGCCCCATGGAGCTGCCCCAAAGAATAGACTAGAACAGGCCTGGGTGGGAGCCCTAGGGAAGAGTCCGAGTCTGGTCCTGACTTTGCCATGAGTTGCTGTGTGACCTGCAGCAGGTTCCATGCCCTCTCTGGGCCCCCATAGTGGTATCTGCCTGCCTGCTTCCCTGGAGCCTTGAGGTTGGTAGGAAGTGTTATGTAGGGACAGAACCCTAATCCACAACCCCTAGAGAAAACTTCCCCATCTGTGGGTTCCCCCCCACTTGTGTGGGACAACCACAAATGAAGCTGAGAAGGGGCCTTTATTTGGGACCATGGACTGGATTTTTGGATTCCTGGTGCCAGGGACTCTAATCAAAGCCTGTAATCAGAAAAAGAAAAAAAAAAAGTTTAAAAAACAAAAACAAGCACCTGTGATTGATATTGGAGGTATTCCCTCATCTTCATGTTACTCATAAGCAACAAGTTACAGGGTCTAGGCCTGTGATTCTAACAAACTTACAGATAGCCACACAGTTTAATTAACTTATGAAAATGAAAACTTTGGTCCAGGCCTTTGGTTTCAAACATACCGTGGAAATCTCTGCCTCATTTTTATTTGTTCATGGGTGCTCAAGTATTTGATCGAGGCCCATGATTTCAAACATACTTAGAGGTGTTCGCTGGACTTCATTTACTTGTGAAAATGAAGATTTCTCCCAGACCTGTGATTTCAGGTAACTTTGGGGAAATCTTAGCCACATTTTCATTGACTCGTGAACACTGTAGTGTCCATGGCCTTGTGCTTTCAAACACTGTTAAGAAGATTCATTCATTTTCACACATTCATGGGAAATGAAGTCTTTATCTGGACCTGTGATTTCAGACATATTGAAGGAGGTAGTCTGCCCTAGTTTCATTTACTTGTGGGCACCAAGGCCCTTTATTTGGGCCTGTGATTTTAAATATGCTTAAGATGGAATTTCTCTGTTGGTCCAGTGGTTAAGACTTCACCTTCCAATGCAGGGGGTGCGGGTCTGATCACTGGTTGGGGAGCTACAATTCCACATGCCTCATGACCAAAAAGGGAAAACAGAAACAATATTGTAACAAATTCAATGAAGACTTTAAAAATGGTCCACATTTTAAAAAAAAACAAAACTTTAAAATATCTGCTTAAGAAAATTGACCACTTCTTCAAATTCTTTATTGACTCATGACCAACAAATTCTTTAATCCAGTTTTAGAATTTCAAACACATTGGAGGCATTTCAGCCTTCAACTTTTTTTGTGCAGATTAGAGGTTTTCCTTTAGACCTCCGATTTCAGACACTTGAAAATTCTCCCCATTAACCTCTGAGCACCATGGACTTGGGTCTCCGTCTATGATTGCAAACACACTAAGACAATTCATTTACTTATGGATCCTGAATCTAGGGCCGTGGTTTTGAAACAGGTCCATGAATTTAGACTAATTGACATAGATGACTGTAAGTCTCTGGGGAAATTCATTCTTCAGTTCGTTTCAGGTACAGAAAGCTTGGATCCAACCCTCTGATTTCAAACTTACTTGATGTATAGCATTGGCCAAAAAGTTTGCTCTGGTTTTTCTGTTCCACTGTATGGAAAAAGTCCAATCGAACTTTTTGGCCAGCTCAATATATCACTCTCAGCATCCTTTGCTTTCGCTCCTGTGGAGATGGTAACCCAGTTCTGAAGTCTAAACTAGCTTGAAGAAATACAGCCCTGTCTCCATTTTCAAGCACCATGGGCTTTGAGGCCTGTGATTCCAAACATACTTGAAGAACCCAGACCCCGTTCACATACACACTGGTTGAAACAAACAAGCGACTACCAGCTCCCTAAATTGGCAGCTTGTTTGTTTTTATTTAATTTTATTCTGTATTGGAGTATAGCAGATTAAAGTGTTGTGATGGTTCCAGGTGGACAGCAAAGGGTCTCACCCATATACATATACATGTATCTGTTCTCCCCCAAACCTCCTCCCCCGCTTGGTACATCATTGGAGGTGACCCCTTCAGTGTCAGGGCTTTGGAGCAGCTGCTGTGAGTTGGGACTGCCAACCTGCCCTCTACCTCCCCCTGGCGAGCATCATTTGGCACTTTCCTAAATGCACCTCAGTTGGCACATATTCCCCCTACCCCCTGGATTTGTCTTTCAACGTGGCAGTCATTTACAAGGTCCTAGCTGAGGGTGGAGGATTGGCCAGGCAGGCAGTGTGTTCAGGATGGGCCAGAATTGGGGTGGGGAAAGGCAGGCAGCCAGGGAGGCCCTGACCCAGTGGGGGCTTCTAGAGTGACTCAACTTTTCTGTCTGCCTCTCTGGCCCAGCCCAACCAAGAGATAGGCCGGAAGGGACTCTGGGACAGCCCTCCCGCCATTCCCCCAAGCCAGGGTTCCCCCTGATGGGCCAGGCCTTGTCCCCTTTTCCCATAGGAGCCCTGCAGATCGAGAGCAGCGAGGAGACGGACCAGGGCAAGTATGAGTGCGTGGCCACCAACAGTGCCGGCGTGCGTTACTCCTCACCCGCCAACCTCTACGTGCGAGGTAGGGCCCCCCGCCCCCACCGGTCCCCCTTCCTCCTCGGGCTCACAGCCTCCGGGCTCCCCTGTCCCCTGCAGACCCCAGCAGGCAGGCCCACCCCTGCGGGACCTTGGGTGAGGCGGTGTCCCTCTCTGGACCTCAGTTTCCTTGCCTGTAAAATAGGGGCAGCTTCAATTCCCCCACCCCCGTGCCTGGTGACGGCCGTCCCGTGAGCTGCAGGACGTTGGGGTGGGGGCAGCAGGAGGGAATGGGGCAGGGCCGGAAGGAGGGGGTCTCTCGTGGGCCTACAGGGCCGGGGGAGCCTGCAGGCCTCTGCCCCCCCCCCGCCCACCTGCCCGCCCATCCGAGTCGGCTTCTGTGGTGTGTCGTGCGGTGCTTCCCTTGCTGTGTGCTCGCTTCGCTTCTCCAGACTCGTGGCCTCGTACCCGCTTCACTGCCCCGTCCTCCAGCGCCCTCAATCTGAGAGTTGGGGAGGGGTCTTCAAGGCTGCCCCTGCCAGCCCCACAGCCTCAGTTGTCCCCAGAGCCTGGTGCTCTCCTGGTCACCCTCAGAGGAGGATTCCTGTAGGCAGGTGTCCCAGGGTTTGGGTTGAGGCTTGTCAGTTTCCCACTCGGTCACGCCTGGAAGCACGGGGGGTCCTTACCCCGGCACCACCCCCACCCCCAACCCAAGGAGGGCCTGAGAGTAGCCCCTGGGTATCTCCTCAAAGGTGCCAAGTGGGGGTACTACCCCTGCTCCTAGATGCCTCTGTGGACCCCCATCTCATCTGTGGGTTGGTTTTCTTCTATCCTCTCGGAAATATTCATTTGCCACCTCCTCCATCTCCTGTGTCCCCGTGTTTCTGGTCAGATCTGTGGTGGAAAGAGCTTCCACCTGCCAGCAAATGGGGTCCAGTCCATCCCCCGGGGCTGCCCCCAGGATGCTCAATATCCTTGACCCCAAGCCACCCTTCTTTGAACCTCCCTTCCCTGATTTGACACACCAGGCCCCCCCACCGTTCTCCACCTGGGAGGTCATGCAGCTCCTCCCTCACTGGGAGACCCTCAGGCCCTCAGTTCCGCCCCTACCAGACAGCCCCCACCAGCCCTGAAGCAGCACCTTGGCCACCCTTGGGTTCTGCATCTCGCCTCTGAGGAGGAGGTGGCATGGGGGGCGGGGCTGGGGCCCCGGGGGCACGGGTGGGCAGGGGCCACACCTCCGGTCTGCTACCATGGCATCTCTGGTGAGTTATAGCGTGTCCACGACTCCAACCGACTGGTCTTCGTCTAACCTGCTTTATTTCTCTGCCAACACCTGGGAAGGGGGTTTGTAAGTCTGGCAGGGCTCAGGAGGATAGTATGGGGCAGGGTTGGGGGCGGGCCCTCTAAGCAGGGTGCAGCCAGGGAGGGGGGCCAGCCTTGTGAGTCCTCAGTGCCCCTCCCCCTGGAGGGGTGGTCCTTTCTGTAGGGGGTCCGGCCTCCCATCCTTTGCCTGGGCCTCAGACGCTCCAAAATTGAATTTAAAAAAAAAAATTGTGGAAGGCAAATGTAGATCGTGTATGTCAAGGAAAGACGAAAAGGTCGTTGCTGTTCTTTTTGTTTTTTAATTTTAATTTTTTTTTTTGGTTTAAAGAAAAAAATCAACAAACTATTGCAGCTTTTAGCCTTGGGAAGTCCTCTTTTTACTCTCTGTATCTCCCCTATTTTTTCTCTTCTCCCCATGTCATTGTGTTCTGCATCAAACCCCCTTTACATCCCTCAGAGCTTCGAGAAGGTTGGTGTGTTTTTTTCTTTTTTACTTTCTTTACCCACATTTTTACATTCTGAAAGTCACACACACACACACACACACACACACACACACACACATACACACATGAAAACACACACAGACAGGAACACGGACACACGCAGACATGCACACAGAAAATGATAGAAAAATGACAGAATGCGAATAATGAGCTGAAAGCCAACAAAACAAAAAACCGCCAAGCGAGAGCCAAAAAAAAAAAAACCCAGAAAGACACGAAAATCTCAGCCGTGCCCAGCCCGGCCTAGGGCCGGCCGCACACATGCGATGCTTGCATTGTGGTCGCCTATATGCATCCTTTGGTAATGTTGTTGCTAAGTTTTTTGCACTCCTCGTCGTCATGGTAACTTGGGCCTGATGCATGCTGGGAGAATGTAAAAATTTCTCTGCATGCCACTCTTGTCGATTCGGTTTGGTGAATTCCCAACGCCTTCTGTTGGAGTGTTTCTCGTCTTCCGTTCCGTTTTTCTCCTTTGGTTTCCTTCGTTTGTTTTTTTTCTTTCTTTCTTCTTTTTATTTAGTTATTAATTTTTTGTTTTGTTTTGGGGGAAAAAACCGATCAGTTCGTATTTTTTTCCCCCTCCCAGCCCCTTTACCCTGCTCCCTCCCCCCATCAAAGCGTTTGGTCTTTGGGTCTGTCTTGTGTTTCCGTGCTCTTTGGTTTCGATTTCTTGGGCTGAGCTGTTGTGTGGTTGTTCTCCAAACGCATTGTGATTTAAAAGCCAGTGTTCCTGTCCCAACTACCATCCAGGAAGGCGGAAGGGTCCCACAGCTGGGATGCTGGGGCAGAAAGTGACCACCCGGGCTCAAGAGCACAAAGGAGGTGGCTTAGACAGATGGTGGGAGGTCAGAGCTTGGGTGAGGTGTGTGAGGAGAGAAGCCCAGTTTGTCTGACCTGACTGGACAGCTGTGTCTCTTACCCAGAGCTGATGCCTCAGCGCTTCAGGGCAGCCATGTTGGAAGGGAGCTTAAGCAGGCACATTCCCTTCCTTCTGCCTCAGCATGAGACCACCTCCCACCTTCCCAGACAACCCAGAAACAGGCATGGGAAGCACAGCTGAATGGACAGCTGGCATGTTGAGTTCTTGTTCAGTAGACCAACACGTCTAAATATGAGAAGTGGCACCTATAAATGGACCATCCTCCCAAAATGATGCATGCTTGGCACATAGTCAGTGCTCAGAATGATAGCTGTTGTGATGACTTTTTGCATCCTGACTGGGTACCAATATGGATCCACCCATTGGAAAATGTAGCATGATAGACTTTAGCCAACTACTTGGCCGGTCATTCTGCCCTAGTGCTATGCCTCCGCCTCATAGATGATGTTGGCTGCTTCCCTCACCACCTACCAGACTCTCAGCCTAGTCACAGGCATCTTTTGTCCAGCAGTGCAGCATGGTCACTTTCTGAGTACCTAAGCATCAGAACTGTGGAATTCTGGAGAAAACCCTGGGGAACTTTGGGCACAGCCCCTCCCTCCCTCTCTCTGCCTCCCTAGCTCTCCCTCTGCCTCTCTCTCTCTCTCTCTCTCTCTCTCTCTCTCTCTCTTTCTCTCTTTCTCTCTTTCTCTCTCTCTCTCTCTCTCAGCTCTCCTTCTGTCTGTCTGTTTCTCTCACTTTTGAAACCTTTAGAGACGCTCGCTCCCATCTCCTCTTCCCTCCCTGAGGAAAGGCAAACCTTCGAGAGCCCCATTCTAACCCCAAAAAGAAAACAAGCCCCCTATAAAATATCTATTTAGATTTGTAGCCACTAGCTCCCAGCTGACTACCCAACATAGATGACAGTTGAGAGCTGAGACCAGCCTGTTTGGGGTAACCTCTCCCTTGTCCCTCACCTGCCTTCTCTAAACTCCCAATGATTAAGTTCAGGGCTGGAGTTGGCAAGAAGATTTTAGATGCAATAATAGGAGATTTATTTTTCCTGTCTCCTTTTGAATCCAGAGTAAGAGCTGCCAGGCAGAACTCTCCAAAAGATGTAGGAAAGAGGTCTCTCAGCTCCGTAATGAAAGCTGGATTCCAGTGAATGGAAACTGAGGGTCTCTGAAGACCACTTGGACTTTGGGGGCAGTATAGACTGGTGGTGAGAGCACAGACTTTGGACTTGAGACCCAGATTCAAGTCCTGCCTCTGCCCCTCCTTGGCTGTATGACCTTGGGCTGGTCACTTGGTTGCTTGGAGTCCCTATTTTCTCATCTGAACAATAGGAAGAAGCATCAGTACGCCAAGCTCACAGGATAGTTGGGAGGAGTCCATGGAGGAAATTCATATTCATCTGTCTGGTGCCCTGTGTCATGTGTGGCACATAAGAAATCACAAGGAAGATTGTTGTAAAAATAGGGAAATAGAGTTCAAATAAATGGTTTGGGCAAGTCATTTCCCTTTGGGGGCCTCAGTTTCCCCATCATTTATTTCACAGATACGGCTTTTGAATAAGATGGCTTACGGGAAACTGCTTTGGGAAGAATTGAAGGGCAAAAATTAATTCATTTGCTCAGAGCTCAAGTTTTGCTAATGCTTTTCAGAGCTCAACCCATGGTCTCATTTTTTCCTGGCTCCAACCTCAATCCCATGAGATCAGTGGTCTCTCCAGATTCACATCTTTCCTCTTACTCCCTGTCACTCCCACAGGAAGTTCCGTGGCCAGAGTGTCAAAAGGGGGCAAAAAAAAAAAATGGAGGGAGTGCCAGTGACCCAGTTTGGGTGTTAGGCTACCCTTGCAGATACATACCAGCTCAGCAGAAGAGAAGAGCCACCTAGCATGTTCTGCCCTGAAAGCTATAAGTGTTTACACTGTTGCCAGAGCAACCATTCCTGGGAATTAGTTGCAAGGAATCCCCACCTTCAACCTAACTCTTCCTTCAATTCTCCAGCTTCTACTGACCCTGGGTGATCCAGGGGGTGAAGTATTCAGATATACCCTTCTCCTGAAGTCAACTGCTGAGATTCAAAGGACCCAAAGTCAAAGCCAGGTCCATTTTTTTAAATGCAGCTGGCAGCTCTAATCCCAGAACTTCCCTAAGGAAGATGTAGCTCAGAATTACATTCTCCCTGGCCGTTAATTTTCTTTAAAAGCATCAGCCTTTAAGGTGTGAATGAGTGGCTGAAGATGGTGTCTTTACCATTTGGTCTAGCAACATAGCATCATTGAACCCTGGTGCAGAGGACCCAGTGAAATGGTGTGCCACCCACCTGATGACACAGGAAGATACTAGA